TTACATTACATTACATTACATTACATTACATTATATTATATTATATTATATTATATTATATTATATTATATTATATTATATTATATTATATTATATTATATTATATTATAAACTTTATTGGACAGTAAAACAAGACATACCAAACGGCACAAGTGCAAACGGGACTCGAAGTCCCATGCGAGGCACTCTACCTTTTTACAAATTGATTAAATTACAAAAATTATTGTTACGATTACTATTATACTATACTACAACTAAAATAAACATATGCCAATTGTTTGAAGCTCATATACATATTGAATGTGGTTGGTTTAAATAAAGTGATTAAAATACTATAAAAAACAGCCAATACTGCGTTATACCTAGAATATCAGAAAACAAATACAGAAATACTCAAGCAACAAGCATATGTTTACTTTAGAAACTATTAGTTATATTAAGGCTTGCCGCAGATGGGACAATCTTTACATTTCCGAGGCATAATTTGAAAAGATAAATTTCAACTGATTTCCTAACATTAATTAGTTGTGGCCCAAAGGCCTTTTTGAAGGTTTGCAGGGAATTGGGAGCGGGTTAGAGATATGGGTTAGGGTAAAATAGCTAGCACACAGAATCGTCTTTTGTTTTATTTTTATAAACCAAACACAAACAACCATTAAGAGTCAATGTCACAAGGAGACCATGTGTTTCTGAAAAGTCTTTTCAAAAGAAATTTTCTCTTGTCAATAGCGGACTCGAACGCTTCCCTGGTCGAAATTATCATCGTTGACAAACAGCATCCCTGGTTTCCATAATCGTTCTGTGAACTGGATCCCTCTTTAGTTGTCTCATCCATAGTAGACGTTCCATATAAATATTCAACAAATTTTTAGGAAGTTTTGGTAGGATAAGTAAGTATGCCTTGTCTTTAGCTTCGTTTTCGTCAAAACCTTCTGCAATGAAATTCTGCGTTAGTTCTTCGAATTCCAATAAACTTTGTTGGGCTGCTTCAGTTTTAAATGAGTCCATGGATCGCTTTCGCATTAATCACCTACTTTACTATTAGTATCATTTACATTATCGGAATCACTTTCTGACGCAGACTCAATTTCCACTTTGTTGTCAGTGTTATACGAATTCTCAACACCACTCTCTGATGTAGCACTATCAGAGTCTGCAGTCGTTCTTTTTTATTCATCTTTACACTGAAATCTGTAGTAGGTTTCCAACAGTACTGTATAGGTAGGGCCTTTTCTATGGCCTTGTGACCCGATTCTCTAGAAGCGTCTTGGTGGGGAGGCTTAGTGGGAAGTATCCCAGCTAAACAACAATAGGGACACAAGGCCATAGAAAAGGCCATTGGGGCCACTAGCTACCCTCGATTTAAATTGGATTGCATCCTAAATAGTGTATTCCTGACATGGAGTCAATTTTAAGCAAAGATTTGGGAGTTGGTAGGAGATATTTTATTACTGAGTGCTTTGACTATTGACAAGATTTCTCAATTTTGACCGATGCATTCGCATCGCTGGCATCGGTCTGGATCCGCCCCTGGGCCACTTCATAAAATGTAATGTTAATTGTTTAAAAAATTGATCATTCGCTGGTTGGTTGTGGCTGGAGTTGTTTCAACCGAACAATATACGAAGGAAATACAGTACTGTTGGAAACCCACGACAGACTTCAGTGTAAAGATGAAAAGAATGAGAACTGCTGCAGACTCTGATAGTGCTACATCAGAGAATGATGTTGAGAATTCGTATAACACTGACAACGAAGTGGAAATTGATTCTGTGTCAGAAAGTGATTCTGATAATGTAGATGATACTAGTAGTGAAGTAGGTGACGAAAGCGAGCCATGGGCTCCTTTAAAAGCTGAAGCAGCCCAACAAAGTTTATCAGAATTCGAAGAACTAACGCAGAATTTCACTGCAGAAGGTTTTGACGAAAACGAAACTAAAGATAAGGCATAATAATGTATAAATTTGCAGAGTATTTATCTGGAACATCTACTATGGATAAGACAACTAAAGAGAGATCCAGTACACAAAAGATTATGGAAACCACGGATGTCTTTGTCAACGATGATAATTTCGACCACAGGGAAGCGTTAGAGGCCGCTATTGACAGGAGAGGATCTCTTTTGAAAAGACTTTTCAGAAACACATGGTCTCCTAGTGACATTGACTCTTGTTTGTTTTTGGTTTATAAAAATAAAATAAAATAAAATAAAATAAAATACCATTCTGTGTGCTAGTTATTTTACCCTAACCCATTTCTCTAACCCGCTCCCAAGTCCCGGCAAACCTTCAAAAAGGCCTTTGGGGCCACAACTATTTAATGTTAGGAAATCAGTTGACATTTATCATTTGACATTATGCCTCGGAAGTGTAAAGATTGTCCCATCTGCGGCAAGCGAGCTTTAAAATGATTGGCAAACCATTTGGCAGAACTTTCTTCCGAAGAAAGATAACCTTATCGTATTACTTAGAAAATGTCAAAGTGGAATAAAAGCGGAAAAAAGAATATACCCATCCGTCAACCAAAATCCTCCAGGAAGAGAACAAAATCGAATACAAAACCTGCTAATAACGTGGACAATACAGAAATGAATGATGACTCGAAGGAGAGGTTAAAGTTAGAAACAAAAACTGGATAAAACTCTTTAGTGGATAATATATTTATACAGACAAGAATTTTATTAACTTTGTATACTTAAAGAAATAAATGTGCTCTAGAAAGAAATCATGTGCTTTTGCCTATTTTATACTCGCGCTCTGTGTCCACGCTTATAATAGACCGGTATTATCCTTCAATATCCCTATTATGATGTACATTGTGCGCATCTTATCGCTACTGATCGTTTAATAATCGTAGGTGTATGCAAATAGCGAACATAACAACGCATAGTAACGCGTGGATGTGCTTACTTCGCTTGGTATATTTATTAACATTGCTCGTTGTGACGAATATAGATTCATCACTACCATTTTGTAAACATACGAAAGCTAAATAGGCAATAATACGACCAAAGTTTGTAACATTAATCTCCCTGTTGACTTGTTCAAGGTTTAGTGATCATTGTATTTATATGAAACGATAAAGTTTGCTTATCAATAACAATTTCATTTCGTTTCAACTCATCAACAATTATATCTACGTTATCAACACACGTGGGAGGGACGCTAAAAATGCCTAGTCAGCAAATTTTGCCCGGTCTTGTCCAAGCTTGCCCTCGTGACATCATTGCATATATTAATTAAGTGAACACACTCCACACTCCACCATCACACTCCACCGGAAATTAATGTGGAGGTATGTTAAAGTGGAGGTATGTTAATTAATGTGGAGGTATGTTAATTAATGTGGAGGTATGTTAATTAATGTGGAGGTATATTAATTATGTGGAGGTATGTTAATTAATGTGGAGGTGTGTTAATTAATGTGGAGGTATGTTAATTAATGTGGAGATATGTTAATTAATGTGGAGGTATGTTAATTACCCTCCACACTCCTCCACCATCCGGCCCCAAAACCGCCTACATTACTACTGATGTTTGATACCTTCAAACTCCGAAAAGTTTTTACTTTTCATTTAGCTATATTTGAAATTGAGGCCACGGGTTATTTTTGAAAATACGGTTCAAAGTCAAGCTATTTTTACATATTTATGAAATTCGTCAAATTTCGCGAGCTAGTTTTGAACTTAGACCGCTGAAGTTACATTAAGAAACATAGGATGGAAAATTTGAGGTATATAAAATTAATTTCAACTTACATTTCATTCTCACATTACGTTTTTCTTCGTTTATTATTTAAGCAAGCCATAGCTCGACGTATACGGTATTTGCTCCCATGTTCACGTCGCCATATTTACTTCTTCCAATCACTCGATTACAAAAAAAATATCATCCCAAAACAAGGAATTCATGATCGATTTTTAAAAGAATAACCTTAAATTTGTAAATTGTTTGAATGGAAAGCAAAAAATCGTCCGATAAACAGTTTCTTGCTAAATTTCTGCTTTGATTTGAATGTGCAATGGAGCTTTGTTTCTGCCCGCAATTTTTTGATCAGCGACGATAAATTTCCCACCTGTTCACTGATACATGTTCTAATTCTAATTAGTGTATTTTGCTTCATACAATACATATGTGTGTGGAAACATGTATTGTATGAAGCAAAATATAAAATTAAATTACCTTGGAAACACTTAAATTGCAATCCCTAAAATTTTAAATTTTTTCTTAAATCGCCTTAAATCGCGCTAAAACGCCTAAACTCGCATTGCTCAAAAGTTGCAGTTTTTTCTTAAATCGCCTAAAATCGCCTAAACTCGCATTATCTCGCGGCGAGTTTAGGCGAGTTACTGCAGACTGCTAAAGCTTATAGTATTCAGCTAAAGCGCACTTCACGTGACTTGTCAGGCTGTAGTAATGGCATGATATTTTTTAGGGTATCACGGTGCTTTTAAAAATCCATTTATCATGCTGAATGCTTATGTCAACCAACCAGGACAGCTGCAAGCATAACTGTTCAAAAGAATTCCCCTTTAAATCAAAAAGATAATTTCACTTGTGTCGTTATATAAATTGTTTTCAAACCACTATTTTTCATGATAGAAAATTATTGTTAAATAGATTATCTGCATGAGATGTTCTTGAATATAAAGTGGTTCGCACATTTTCAAAATACCCTTGTCTTTAATGCATACACGGAAGGCAGAAGCAAAACGAAACTGGATGCCGCTGTATCCGTGCGGGATGAGCTATCGAGTTAGAGGAAGAAACTTGAACACTGTAAAACTTTCTATTTTTATTAACGCTAGTCCCTTTTTGAGGGGCTGTTTACATGATCCCGCTTTGCCGGGACGAGACTATGAAGAAGGATAATTTTGACATAGTGAAATAAGTAGAACTGCTCAAATTGATTTAGAACTACTGTACACATAAAAAAATGTCGAATGTTTGGTGGCGTGTTAGTGTCGAATAATACAAACTGCGAATACAAAATGCAATTAGATATGTTTTACTCAATATAGCTATGCGGCTTTGCCTGTGGATAGTGGATGCAAATATAATCTAATTAATACCACGTGATTATAGTTAAACATTTCTACCTATACATGTTTGATATTTTAAAAGAATGTGAGAATGACGCGAGACGCTTGAGATATTGGCATAAAACGCTCATTGAAACTGTTGTTTGCACATCCATAATATCAGCCATTAATTAATTGTTATCTGTGTATTTAGCAAATGTGGTGCATTAAATATATGCAAGACGTTTCATACATTTATAGCCTTTCCAATTAAGTGTCAAATTAGATTTTGCCTGAATATTTTCTGGATGCAGATTATCTATAAAGTCTACAATCTTATTCTTAATATCCTGGATTTTCTGGGGTTTTTGCCGGGAACAACGATATTCTCAAATGGAAAATATATGCATGATATAAGTAGAACGGTTTTGTAGATGGAAATTTCGAGTGTGAATTTTATACATTTATTATATCGAACCAGGAGGTTGTGAAAAATACAACTATAGACCCTCTGGCAGGAGTCGAACCTGCAGCATTCCTGTGCAGTGCTCTAGCCAACTGAGTTATAGAGCAAGCTCAGAGCAACCTACAGAGCAAGCTATCGAACAAGCTACTCTTGCAATTTCCATCTACGTTATATCGAGTGTAGGTGCCCGAAATAAAGCTAAGTACTGCAGGAAAATTCATAAGAGCTGCAAAGATGTCAGGGTTGAATGATATCTACAGTAGAGAGTTTTAAAGCATATATAAGAGGGTATTAAGGGCTGCATAGACGTCAGGGTTGAATGATATCTTGATAATTATTTTAGCATAATATATTTATTTATTTATTTTGCCACAATATATATATATATATATATATATATATATATATATATATATATATATATATATATATATATATATATATACAAATTTCTTACTATTTCTTTAAATATTGTAGTAGTAGTTTTATCAGGTAAAGAGCCATTGTATGGAAATACTGATAATAAATCATTATTATTATTATTATTATTATTATATATATATATATATATATATATATATATATATATATATATATATATATATATATATATATATATATATATATATATATATATATATATATATATATATATATACACTCTTAAGAACTAAACAAGACAGAAAACAACTAGTCAATGAATACTTCGTGGCCGGGTGCCCACAATAGCGTGTGAAGCCAATTACTGTGGTCCCGATAAGTGAGAGAATACATGCACTAACTACAACATGACGTGGAGATCCTAAGTATGCGTGCTGAATTGCATTTCAGACACACAGATTCCCATGTCCTTGGATCATCCGAATCGAAAATTGTTTGAGATGCCGTCAAATAATGTTCTTTTAGCAAGCTTCTAAAGATGTATCCATGCGGCGCATTTCGTCAGGTAGGTTGTTCCAAACTCTGCACGTCATGTGTGAGAAGAATGATCGTTGAAAAGTTATGGTTTTACAATCTTTTAGGATGAAAGCAGAGTAGACTAGGGTCGGAAGTACTTCGAGTTGATCTTGTGGGAATATGTTGAGTTGGCTTGTCTTCAGAGTTCATGCATGGCGGTAATATTGTGAACAATTTTGAAGAAAAATACTAGATCAAGGAATTCATGCCAGTAGGAGATTGGAAGTAGATGGAGTGTATATTAAGGGCTGCATATAGATGTCAGGGTTGAATTATATCCAGATAATTTTTTAGCATAATATATAAGAGGGCATTAAGAGCTGCACAGATGTCAGGGTTGAATGATGTCTAGAGAATTTTTTAGCATAATATATAAGAGGGTATTAAGAGCTGCACAGATGTCAGGGTTGATTGGCGGTTGAATGATATCTAGAGAGTTTTTAAGCATAAGAGCTGCAAAGATGTCAGGGTTGAACGATATCTAAAGAGTTTTTAAGCATAAGAGTTGCAAAAGATGTCTGGGTTAAATGATATCTATAGAAAGTTTCAAAGCATTTAATTCAGGGATTTCAAAGCATTGATTCATCTTCAGCAGTATCTTTACATTAAGATATATTTACAAGATATCAAGCCTGCATGACCAGCCCCTATCTGGCTATAATTTCGCTTGCATGGATTCGGTTTCCGATCCTTGCGTTAAATAACAGTCTATTTTGAAATTATAGCCCGGTATTATAATAAATTATAAATATAGTATGATGAAAAGGTGATGTAGCTACTTTTCAAATCAGTCAATAGATTTTGATTAATATTCGCACTATGACTGTAGTTATTAACTATAACTTTTCATACAACTGGCCTTGGTAGTTGCATATTATACTGCACCCAGGCCCACATTGAGACTCTCGGGAACTCTTTCCCTGGAGGGCAAACATCAAGTGTATAATATTCTAGTGATAGAGATAGCTACCACGCAGAAAACGTAATTCATATATAGAAATGAATATTACTGCCTAGTTGTATTTGTTTAAAATACTATTAATTTGCCGGTTTGGCCTGTATATATGAATAATATAATAATAATAATTTAAATAATATATATGAATAATATAATAATAATAATAATGTACTCTGTATAATGGTATATTTTTCAAACTTAATTCACTGGCTTAATCGTTTTAATCTGATTCAAATTTTCTTCTTGCAACATATATAACATTGTTTGTAAATTATATGCATACACCTTGCACGTTTGTGATTATCACTTAATGACGTTGCGATGTAAGCAACGAAACTTTATTAGTTTATATATAATCACATGCAGTGTTTTGTCATGTTTTCTTTAAAAATTGTTTGTTGTGCTTTAATATGCCTTTTTTAGTTAGGTTGATCAGTTTTGTGAAGGAGCAGATGTTGCATGCGTCCATATAGACTGCATTTTAATCATTCTTGACCATAATCATTAATCATTCTTGATTCATATTGACTGCATTCTAATCATTCTTTATTTATATTATATATCATTAACAATTCAGGCATTAAAATAAGCGTGTATGTTAGCGGCACACTTAATTGTGTCCTCGTGAATCGTGAGTAGAAATTAGGGCCATTTATATGAGAGAAAATAAGTCGCGACTTAACTGATTAATTTATTTAAGTCACGAAAACACTCATATATAAATGGTCAGTTTCTGTTAAAGCCACGATTTCTTTTGGACGATGCAGCATAAACAACACCTATTCTTATTTTAGTCGCGACTTCTATTGGTCAGGCACCAACAAATTGACCATTTATACGAGTGTGTTCGTGACTCAAGGCGTACAACTCGTAATGCAGAACGGTCACCAAATATTTTCCCAAGAGGGGGGGGGCTAATTCATTTGCTGCACCTCCATGTGTCTTCGCGGTTACCGGCAAGTCACTTGAGCAATGGCGAAACGACAGGAAAGAGAATTTCGCGTTGTATTTTCGCAATATAATAAGTGTTTATTTACATACATGCAGTATTTAAATAACCACATCTTCCCTCAGCACAAACCATCAACGATTTTTATGGCTTTAAGGTTACATAAAACCCTACATGTTCTGAGTGGTACCCTTCGTGAAATCAGCGTTGTTGCCTCAAACAGTCGATATTTTGGGGTCTTTGACGTAAGTATTCCAGACGTCTTACCATAAGTATTCCAGTGAAATTCTACAGCGTTTATGACCCCGAATTCTATGCCATATTCTACAGCGTTTATGACCCCGAATTCTATGCCCATAATTTGTCAGAAGAGACATGAGAGACAAGATATACAAAATGAGACGTGGTCTATCTTCAAAGACTGCACTACACCTTGGATAACATCTGGAATCACGACTTTTTATTAACGAAAGCCTCACTCAACAATCCAGAGCTTTGCTCAGAGCCGTTAAAGCCTTCAAACGGGACCATCACTACAAGTTTGTTTGGACAAAGTAAGGCAAGATCCTGTTGAAGAAAGAAGCCACTCCTTCATCTGAAGTTCTGTCATTTTCGTCTTTGAAAGAATTCGAAGAATTAGAAGCCAAAGTCAATGAACGTTAAGTTTGTGAAAATTTATTATCTGTATTTGAATGTTTATATGTCCTTTTGTCAATATGTCTGAAATGCATGCTTTGCCCTTTAGTCATCTTGATGATGACGAATTTGAGCTTGTGTTATATGAATTCGCAAATGGCTCTGTGCGATTTGATGAGGATAGATTATCATGCCTGGTCTTTAACCCGCTGCTATATGATTACAACAATACGGTTGGTTTATTCTGTTTATGTTCTCATTTAGATGCTGATTCTAATTTTTATTCAAAAGTATCTCAAAGTTGTGATTACTATACGGAGCTAAAACTAAATAACTTGCTGTCTAATACGATGCCGAATAATTGTTTTTCGCTTTTTCATCTAAACATTAGAAGCCTACAACGAAACTTTGACAATTTGTTAAATTTGCTGACCACTGTCGAACACCGCTTTCTTTTCTGTGATAGGCATAACTGAAACTTGGCTTCGCCAAGAAGAACACAATGTGGGTATTGACGGGTATAAC